CGTGACATTTACATGAAAGGAAAGCTAGTTTTAATTATTTAGTGCGCACTTTTCGGAAATGTTTGCATGAAAAGGATGAATTAAGGTATAACACGAATATTTCTACGAAGAAAATTATTAACATTTGAATTTGAATACATAAAAATCTTAAAATATAAAAATATTAAGACAAATTTTGACATTCAGTCGTTCCGTTGTTCTGTTGCGAGGTAGCTATATGAAGGTGAAGTGATACAAAGCGAAACAAATAGAGTTTTTGTCGCACAGCACTCCAAAAATTCTATTTGGCCGAGGAGACGCATTCGATTGACGATATCGGCGACACTGAATTTTATCGAGTTCACCACGGTGGCACTAAGCTGCATCCGCCACGTCTACGTGCTCGAACGTTTTGTGGCTGCTTGTGACACCAATAACCTAAAAGGCTTTCGATGCCAGTATCTACTTATCTCGCGGTCCAGTCGAGATATTACTACTGCCGCGTCGGTCAGAGAGAGAACGAAGGATTCGCTGATGCACACGCGCGCTTTCTTACATCAAGCTCTTCCGCTTTTAACACGACAGGTAACGACGAAGAAGAAAGAGCGCAACGGAAAGAAACAGCGCGGATTTATTCCGTCTCTTGAAAGCTCTCACGCGAATAAAACGAAAAGGGCGATAAATGTTCATCTTACGATACGCGCGTTTCTTTATACCAAAATAGGATATATGTGCATATTGTCACATAGTTTCTGTAAAAAAAAAAGTATGCTATCTCTATCTTCATTATTTTTAAAATTTCGACGATTGAATAAATCAAACTCTTTTATATTCTCTTATATGTATTATTTCAACTCTGTCAAATTTTTATAGCTAGCAGTTCTCATTTAGTGAGGTTTTTATTCATTTTTCGCATTGATGAATTTTAATTATGGGTTTTTCCGCCTGACGTAGAGCTTTAATTTTATTTGTACAGCGATATTCTAGAATAGAACTTCGCCCTCCTTTTTAAGTTAACTAACCAGCGGATGACTCCATGACAGAGGAACATTGTTAACCACGTGATACCGCACAAATGTATTTAACATGTGCGACGTAAAGCCTTGTGAAACCTTTCTTGCTCGCGGGCGAATATACCGGGTAACTGAAGACACAAGCGAGTTTCCGGACGAGCGGATCCGAGCTGTGGTTTTGTATGTACACAAACGTCCGTGTGTGCACACTTGCGCCGTGTGTATGTACGTGGAAAGATGGAAGGGTTCTCTGTCTCTATAGCTTTTCCTCTCGTGCGCGCGCGTCTCCATCAGCAAGGTAAGAAGAAGTTAATCCCGACCCTTTCACAGAGAGAACGCAACAGTGATGTAGCACAAAGGAGTGGAATGTTCTACGCAAATTGCATCTTATTTGGACAATTACTTCTGCAAATAGGCTTGATCCTGTCAACATGTAAGTTTGTTACTTTACAAACACAAAGAACAATCGATTTTAATAGAATTAATGGACCGATTTATACATTATTCGCGTTCATAACTGTTGACTTGCAATTCACATAATTAAACACACGATCTTATTATATGCAGGATACGCGGCAGAGTAATCCGACTATGCCAGCCGGAATTTCGAAAATTCCGTACTACCGGCTAAGACATAGCTGGAATTTTCGTCCGGTAAACTCGGGCCAAAGTTTTTCGAATTCCAGAAACGTGGCCGGCACACAAACGAGACCAGCCAGCCGCCCGCCGGGGATTTGATTTTAATTTCGCACAGAGCCATCGTAGTCCCGTAGCTTTTTTACCCCTGCCGCGTTCGTTCTTTCGCTATTGTTTTGGACCGGTTCGCGCGCGAGACAGAAAGATATCGACGTGGAGAGAGCAAGAGCGAGAGCAATGCGGCAAAAGAAGGAAGAACGAAAGCAGAAAGTTCCGAGAGATGGTTGTGTGGAACTTGATGTGTGATACGGAGGGGGATGAATGCACTGCACACACACACACACACACACACACACACACACACACACACACGCGCGCGCGCGCGCGCGCGCGGCATATTTGTGCATATTTTCCGCCCGCGAATCTGCATGAGTAACGGCACTGAAATTTCGGTGCCGTCACCATAAATTCCGCGGAGCTCGTTTTCTAGAGCGTATTCGAAGGTTTCTTCGAGATACGCGACGTGTATCTCGTTTTTCGTTCGGCTCAGCCGTCGCATCGAGCTAACATCGATACGGTATTTGAAATTGAGATACGGCATTTTAAAAGGAGAGATTTTCCACGAGCTCTGAGTTTTCGTCACTCTCTTCTTCGCGATGATGCAAAAATTAGTCAGATCTCGATTTTGTTATAATAAAAATTTTTATAGCCAGCGAATATTCGCTCGCAGCATTTGCAAAATAATCTTGAACATTTTTTACAGTTTTGATGAAAATTTAAAAGTAAAAACCAGCATTCACGAGAATTTTTTTATTAAAGATATTACTTGCCAAAAATCTCAACTAAAAATTTATAAATAAATAATCGCTGCCGTTTATCATTTATATCCACTTGTACCAATTTTGCATCAATATTAGATTATATCTTAATTAATTCATAACAATATGTTATCATGCACATAATACAAATGCAAATCCTAATATATAATTATGTAAGATTAATATACATATGTTGCATAAGATTAATATACATATGTTGCATAAGATTAATGTACATATGGTGCATAAGATTAATTATAAAATCCCTTCTGCATAATAATACAATATTAATAATGATATATAGCGTAACGAGGTGTCGGCTTTAATGTCATTTCCATGGGGCAGAAAAAAGATCAGTAATATCTAGGGCTTTAATATCTCATTAATAAACAATGCGGAGCTTATTGTGAAAAAAATTCGGTTTTAACATCGTAATGTGTATTGAGAAATGAAATGAATTGAAAGGGCACGTTTCTTTCCTGCGTGATGAGAGTGAAAATTTTATCGGAGAAGCGGAACCGATGGAGCGTCATTAATGCGATGACGTAGTCGATTTTTCTCGAAGGAAAAAATCGGGTATTCGCAATCTCGGCTGAAAGCAGGAGCGAAATTCGTGCGAAATAAGAAGGAATTACGCGAGTTCTCTTGTGGCGACGTCGATTGTCATGGAAATTTTACGCGACAGAAATTAATCCCTGGAACGCGGCCGCATTTAGTCACGGAATTCGCTACAATTTCGCAATTTGCATTACATCAATTTAGTCGCGGCGAGTAATCGCCGCGTCGTTTCCGCAGCCACGAATCCGCAACGGCGCTAATTTCTCACATCTTTCGGCAATATTCTAATTGTCAAAAATTTAGCAAAAAATACAAAAAATTATCGTCTCTCTAGAAAAGATGAAAAGACATTGCTTTTTTCGTTGCCTTTGTTCTTAGACTCACGACATATGACTTCGTGAATAGAAAATAGTTATAAGAGTGGGGATTTTATTTATCGAGTCAGTCGGTGGTGGTTGATGAATGATTCGAGTCGGCTGAATTTTTTCAATTACAACATATGTTCTTGAATTGTATAGCTTTTTTAATAAAGACTTTTGTCTTTATCTAAGAGTGTGCTGCTCGTTAGCACTTCGCGTATGTATTTTTTCAGTCTTATTTATTCATGTATTCTAACGTTGATCGAAAGAATTTTTACACATTGCTATTCCTAAAACTTGTAGTATTTGAAAGTCAATAACTGAAACGGTCACTTCGCGCGTACTTTTCTTTAATATCCGTTGCATCCCTCCACGTTATTTGTAATAAAGAAATAGACCGAAGCATATCAAGTGGATATCCTGCATGTGAATTTCCCTTGGTATTATTCAAATTTTCAGTGTTGACGTGGGAGCGCGTTCCTTTCCCCTCGCATCAGAATCGATATCTCTCCTGTGTGAAGCGCAATCGGCTTTCCTCACAAATAATCTGCTTGACAGCGGTAAACAGTTTTTTGAGCGGAAGGAGAGAGTTTAGTTTACTTTGCTATAGCTAATTCAAATTATCTTTATCTTCATAGAAATAAATGTTTCTCAATTGTTTTTGTAAAATTCTTCTTTTATCTGAATGAAATAAAGTGTTTTTATAACACTTCTTTTCCTTTTCTTTAATATGTTATAGAAGAAATATTCCAGATAGCGTAAATGGTGATACACTAAATGCGGATATAATTTTTCTAAATTAAAAAGAAAGTTTAAAAAATAATAATAATAATAATAAAGCGACGTTATCTTTAATTTAATTTCAGCACCGAGTTCTCGTGGACGCAACCACATGCGGCAGGAAATACGGTCACATTTTTGGAACCGAAAACGCACATATTTATTTTAACATTTCACGCGTCCATTGTTCGCGCTTGAAAAATGTACGGTTTCGCTGTTACGATAAAACGTACGCTTTGCTGGGCTGTTCGGCGCTGTGTTTAAAATCTCGTAAACAGCGCGAGCTGCTGGTTATGTGAGACGATAAAACAAAAATGCAGCGCGACCGCAATTTCCCATTGTGGGGGCGGGGGAAAAAAATTGAAAAACGACAGAGGAATGTTATGAAATCGTTTATCTTCCACTTTCTGCGTTATGATTCGTCCTGATTATAATTCTCATAATAGAATAATATGAGCAAAAATTGCAGAAATTTTCAACAAATATGAAAACGTTGCTTGTTATAATAGAATAATGAGTAATATATAATTTAAACTTTATAAATTTAATTATTTAATTATATTTATTCTATGCAATCTGATGCATTAACTGTAATTAGCCAGAGAGAGAAAACAGGATTTAAATTATAACAATTCCATATTTCTGCGTGAATTCTTTATTATTAACACAAATATGCCATGATTATATTAGCTTTTCGTTATTATTTGTAAAAAATGAAAATTTATTAACAAATAATAATTATATAGAATACATAATTAAAAGTCTCGACCATCTATCCGTTTAATAAACGCAAAGTGAGCTTTGCCGTAAATCAGTATCGAGCAGCAGAGACGAATGACTGTTATTCGCAATTTCAGGACGGTGTGAGTCTGCTGCAATTCACGCCGACGGTAGAAGACGAGGGGAAGTTCCTGGTGTGCCGTGCCGAGAATCCGAAGCTGCCGGAAGCCGGCATCGAGGACCGATGGAAGCTGAAAGTGCACTGTAAGTACCAACCCCCGATGATGGTCGATAATATAGCGGTGACTGGCATATTTGCGAAACGTGGCTGCGTCACGATATAAATGACGTTTCCGTTTCAGTCAGATATATCGCGAACCAGCAACGTTGCTGATGCGCAAAGCTATATCAAAGAATTATAAGAGTCGGATTTATATTGAACACGATTGTTCGTATTTTATTAGTATCGATTTTAGCTTCGCTGTTTACATATGCACTGATAAAATTAAACTTTTAACAAGATTTAATGTCGTGAAAAGAAAAGCCAGTGGACTGTGGAATCTTCTGTATAATTCGATAATTAAACATTGAGCAATGTTTGCGCGAATAAGCATTTTTCCATCGGCAATACAAATACTCGGTGTAAGCACGCGCAGTCTTTTATACGAAATATCGTCCGGCGTAACAACTTTCTTGACGATCACTACGCTTGGAGAAGAATGAATCTGATTATTCCGATAAATTCCGAAAAGCCGGCATGGGGCGAGATTTCCTTCAGGACAAAGGCTGGAGGCAGGCGATCGGAATTTCATTCGAACGCGTTCGAATAACGGGCGCCTCATGCGATCGCCCTTAGACAAGAACGATCCTCGTAAGTCTCTCGGTCGTCCTTAAAGGAAAATGGCGCTCTTAGGGTGCCGCCGTAGCATCTTTCTCTTCTTTCCTCTTTTCCGGTACGAGGATGCTAAATATTCCAGACTCGAACGATATGATGGATCATTTATTATAGTATAATATATTATTATTGTAATAACTAGATGTTACATTTTTTGCGAATTCCACAATATTTTATTACGTTTTTTTTATATATATTACGTGATTCCACGCAGAACGCAACATGTCGCAAAGCGGTGTATATTTTTATTTAAAAGACCGTTATATTTTACGTGTATATATTAAAGGGATCCCTAGATTGGCTTATATAATCATTCTGCAAACTGTTTGTATTACTTAACCGTCGATCACAGCCCGGCAAATTAATTGTTGCTGTTTTAGTTTTAGTGTACACTTCGCTAAGTATATATTTGTCTTCCGTGTACCAATCGTGTTATGAGATAACTCTGTAAAGAGATACGCGCTCCGAAATTAACTGAATCTGCTAACCCATGGGAAAACAACGCAATTCGCGTTGCCAAAATCACCGTAATAACCGGCCAAAAAATAAAGTCCGTGTAATTAGCCAACAAATTTAAATATCCAGCGGTGGGGATGCGATAACAAGTTCATTATATCCACTGAAAAGTTACTTCGGCGTATATATGTGTATATAGCACAAGGCTATCAGATAACGTTGAACAGCGGACCAGGCTGTAAGCGTTATTAAATGTTCATAAACGTTACGCTATATTACAGAAAATATGCAGTAATGAACGATATGCAAATACGTGGTAAATACAATGTATAATTAATCATAAGTATTTTATCTCATTATTTTGGCTTGAAAATCATGAAAACCGAAATGGAAATGGAAATTCTTTACAATATAAAAATATAATATATATAAGCAATAATTTATAAATCGCTGCTTGTATCGAATTGGTAAATTGTCTTCCAGTAACACTTCTAATCTTTCTTTAAACCTCTTTGTTCATTCTTGAAGTTGTTTTGCTTTTAACGAAGTTAGAAGGATCGATATCGCGAAAGAGTGAAATAATAGCCGGAAAAACGGATCTCGATAATAGTTACATGACGCCGAGGGAACTTTGGTCATAAACTCCCCCAGGTTTCTAATTTATATCCGTAAAAGAAAATTACACGGAAGCACTTAAAGCGAAATACCAATGCTTCGAATCGAGTAGGCACTCATCGCCTGCCCTGTACATAACAGCCACCTTTCGCGGCGGTACAAATTGGAACAGCCGAGGTTGAACTTTGCACACTGTAATTACTTGCCTTGACCACGCGGCGCAGAAGTAAACAGTTGGAAATAACCGTGCGCGCGGTTAATACTTTCGCCATATGAAAACGTTGCAGGATCGCTGCTACGCCGCTAGTATCACTAATAAAGCCAATAATGAGATTCGGAAATCGAGAACCGCGTAAGCGCCATTTTTGCGCGGATCTGCTAGAAATGCGATTCTCACGGGGCGATTAATTGAAAAAGCAAGCCGAAAGTGGTCGTAAAAATTCTATTAAAAGATATTGTGACTTCATAAAGAGTTTGAATTGCTGCTTGCGCGTAAACTCAAACATCCAAAATTTCATTTTTCTCACTCTGTAAACACCGAAAAAATTTTTAATTAATAACGATTTGATAAAAATTCAAATTGCCGCAATATGAAAAAATTTGGCAAATAAATTAATCCATCAGTCATTTTGCGATTGCAACGTTGATTATTCGCACTTTTCATCACGGTATTACAGTATTTTATTCAGAACGAGTTTGCGCACACTTTGTAGGCAAACGCAAAAGAGATTAATAACATTGCAACGCGCTTGTAGATTCTCCCGAACTGCGCGATTTTCATCTAAATCTTTGAATTCAACAGTCATCCGGAAAATTCACGGCGAGCGATATCGGCAATTACATTTCATGAAAGTTAACGTGTATTAGCGAGACGTCGTTTCCTCTTTGGTAATCGTACAGAGGACGTCGTCGGCGGGGGAGGAGGAGGAGGGACCCTGTTCAAGGGCCTGAGCGACTCTTTGAGCCGCGACATAACAATTTGGATTGACTTTACCGGTCTGAAGTGTCCTCGTGCGAACGTAAAGGGAACGTTAATTCGATTTCAATCGCTTGCGCGACGCATGGATGCAGCAGCGCGCACGCAAACTTGCACACACGAAAAGCAACGTGCTTGCAGGGCAGGTTCGAAAGTAAAATGGAAGAGGCCCTTGCGCGTGTTAACCCTTTGCAACGCAACGCTCTCATGACGGGATGTATATACTTTCAAATGCGCGTCATCTCTTGTGAAATTATCTTGACGTTACAGAGAATTTCTTGTTCCTCGCAATATAGGTGTTACATACATTACATAAAATTAGGAGCTTATTGTATATGATCAATTAATTGAGAATAATTCTATATCGCTGAAAAACTATCGAGGATTAAGTTTCAAATCAACGAAAAGTCTACGATATCGTGATTACAAGGAAAATAAAAAAAAGGTATAACAATTTTCTACTACAAACTAACAAAGGTCACAATAAAAACAATTGCAAATTTAAAATCGATAAATCAATAAAGATTTGCTACTTTAATTTAATTATTTAATACTTTAAATTCAATACAATTTCATCATCCAATTAATCATCTATTCAATATTTTCGTCCAAAATAACTAGCAAAAGAAAAATAACAATTTTATTATTATAAAGCAGCAAATTTATTGACTTATTGTGTTTGAAGTTAAAATTGTTTTTATGATGTTCTTGATTACCTTTTAGTAGAAAATTATTACATTTTTTAAATTCTTTTTGTTATCGCGATATCAGAATCTCATGTTTAAATGTGATATTTTATAAAACAGTGAACATATTGACAAATTGAACATCCGAGTGCGTCGTCGAGATTTTCTCTGATTCAGTATCTCATTCGCTTTGGCCGTTTATGCAATGCGAAATTATATGACCATCCAATCCGTTGTGTAACATTCGGCCGCGTAACGCGTGCAAACCGAGAACGTCTGCTCGCGCTGCGGAGATACGAGAGCTATCGTTATCCGTTTATTTACGGCTACCCGTGCGATCGGCCGTTGCCGCACGGTGTTATCCTCGCACTCGGCGTTATATGCGGGCATTTGGCATTAGCTTGATGGTTAATCGCCGCCGACGCAGCCGCGAGGAATTCGCGCCGGGATCTCGATTGTCCGATTAACCGCATGTGAATCAACCGACTCTAATCTGCGCGGAAATATCCGTCAAATCGGGCATAATCAGTTGCGGTCGATGCCTATTGTACAGCCTTCTAATCAATTTTCGCTTTCTCAGCACTCCGAAATATATATGAATCTATACAATCGCGCGATGTTGGCTTCAAACTTTTATTATTATTTCGATTTTATTTAACGATACATTTTTTTTTAAAGAAATTTTTCGTGTTTCTCGTACAAATGTACGAAGCAAATGCTTCTAAAGCAGAGACGCCTGTTTTGTATGCCAGTCCGGGATACCTTTATTCACGGCAACGTTTCCATAGCTACAAGGAGTATTATCGATGCACGTGACGCATGTGCAACTGTCCGACGCAACCGCGTCATTCCCCTTTTGTTTATCTCAGAAACTGACGTTTGCCGGCAAACTACATCTGACAGCTGCCGTCGGAGAAATCAGCTCTCGTTGCACGCTGGTTTGTAACGTTAGTATTCTCCCGCATGCATCTACGGTATCTATAATACAGGAAAGACTCTTTCGCGATTTCCTGAATAACTTGCAGATAAACCTCCTTGATTTTAGAAAAATAGAAATAAAAATAAGCGCATAGCAGAAGCGGATTGATTAAAAAGCTCAAGTACAATGTTTTCGAAATGTATTACAACAATGCGTTGTGATTAAAAAAAAGTATAAATTAATTTTACAAGTAATTTAATTTAATTTTAAAACAAAAGAAATGGAACTTTATAACACCAACTCGTTTGTGCAGCGTCCGTCATTTGCATTCATTGATATCCAGTGTAATTTTATCTTGTTGTAAAAATTTGACGGCATATGTATAATTAGATAACAGTCCGGCAACAAATTCCCGGCGACGCAACAAACTTCCGACCGTGAATTCGCCTATGTCATACGACATGTTACTTCTGCGGGAGAACAGCGCGGCGCCGTCGGGATTTTTCTGTTTGCCTCGCTCGTAAAATGAGTTTATCTCCGGGAGAATACGAACGCGAAATAAAATTCATTCTCGTTAGTCAGCTTCTCCACGCGCTTTCATTATGACTTCGCGTTGGCGGCCCATAAAATGTCGCGGCGGAATGATATTTGATTCGACCTCTCGGGCCCCGTAGTTTATCAAATTTCTCTACGCTCCGTGATTTTAACTCGACAAGT